AGAGACAGCAAGAGAGGGAACACAAGCAGGGGGAGTGGGAGAGGGAGAAACAGGCTTCCTGCGGAGCAGGGAGCCCGATGTGGGGCTCGATCCCAGAATGCTGGGATCATGACCTGAGCCGAAGGCAGACACTTAACGACTGAACCACCCAGGCACTGCTACTAATATTTTTTAAAAGAAGCTATTATAGGCAAGAATAATTGAAAAAATTCTTTGAATTTCAAGTACATTCATAGATCATTATTTTTTAAAAAAATTTTTTGGTCATTTGTTTGCTGATCTTTTATTCATTCATTTAAGAAATAAATGTTAAATGTATACAATGTGCCAGATACTGTGCTAGGTTCTTGAGGTACAAGAATTAACAGATATATTTATAAGTGAGGCCTTTATTTTTTGGCATAGCCAATTAACCTAGCACATAACATTCAATAAACTGTCTGCCTTTATTATCCCTAAAAGTTACTCCTTTTAGGAAAAAAAATTAATTCTTGACAATTTAGGGCATATTTGATTCATGTGTTGCAGATTGCCTTATCTAAAATTGTTTGTTGAGTGAAAACCAGAAGGCCTTATTGAAGGTGATAATTAGGGGAGTGCAGCTTGTAGTATCAAATTGCTTAGGTTCAAGTCCTGGTTCTGTTCTTACTAGCTGGGCATCCTTGGGCAGTTTCTTAAACTCAGGGTTGTTAAAACATGTATTATAATACTGCCATGAGGTAAGTCATGTCGAATACTTACTTGCCTGACACAGTGCCATAAACATTGTAACTGCTTAGTAAATGGTAGTCCTTATTATCTTATTTGTTGTTTTGACTTTTAAACATACATTTCTGTATGTTTTCAAATGTAAACTTAGGGAAAGAGAACAGCCGCCACGTTTTGCTCAACCTGGGACCTTTGAATTTGAGTATGCATCTCGATGGAAGGCTCTTGATGAAATGGAAAAGCAGCAGCGTGAGCAGGTTGATAGAAACATCAGAGAAGCCAAAGAGAAACTGGAAGCAGAAATGGAAGCAGCTAGGCATGAACACCAATTAATGTTAATGAGGCAAGGTAAAAATGGGTTTTCATATAGATATGGTATGATTTTTTTTTTTTCTTAAGGCTCGTTCATATTTCCCAATGATCCCTATTATTATTTAAGTTGCCAGTTAGGAGTTTTGGAGGTAGTTGGAACTCTCACTGTATTAGAAACAAAAATCTCCCTTTTCCAAGAAAGAAAAAAAAAAAAGCAAAAATACCTTATTAAAATAAGTTTTTGGTGCCTGGGTGGCTCAGTTGGTTGAGTGTCTCTTTTTTTTTTTTTTTAAGATTTTATTTATTTATTTGAGAGAGAGAATGAGAGACAGAGAGCACGAGAGGGAAGAGGGTCAGAGGGAGAAGCAGACCCCCCGCTGAGCGGGGAGCCCGATGTGGGACTCGATCTCGGGACTCCAGGATCATGACCTGAGCCGAAGGCAGTCGCTTAACCAACTGAGCCACCCAGGCGCCCTCTCTTTTTTTTTTTTTTTTAAGATTTTATTTATTTATTTGACAGAGAGAGAGCGAGAGCGAGAGCAGGAACACAAGCAGGGGCAGTGGGAGAGGGAGAAGCAGGCTTCCCGCGGAGCAGGGAACCCGATGTGAGGCCCAATCCCAGGACCTTGGGATCATGACCTGAGCCGAAGGCAGACACTTAACGAATGAGCCACCCAGGCACCCAAGTGTCTAACTCTTGATCTCAACTCAGGGTTGTGAGTTCAAGCCCCTCATTGTGAGTTCAAACCCTGCGTTTAAAAAGAAAAAAAAGGGTGCCTGGGTTGCTCAGTTGGTTAAGCATCTGCCTTGGCTTAGGTCATGATCCCAGGATCCTGAGATCAAGCCCTGCATCGGGCACCCTGCTCAGTGGGGAGACTGCTTTCCCCCCCCTCTGCCTGCTGTACCCCCTGATTGTGCTTTTTCTCTCTGTCAAATAAATAAACAAAATCTTAAAAAAAAAAAAAAAGTCCTACCTACATACATAGTATTGTTGGAGGTTATTAAGGTTGTTAAATTTTGCCTGTAACAAATACTTTATTCTGCTGGCAAAAAGAGAAGCACAGTGGGTAATTCTTGGTGTGTAGATTTGGCATAAAGTCACATATCAAGATTTTGTTGTGGTGTACACCTGACTAATATAACACTGTATATTAACTAACTGGAATTAAAATAAAAACTTTTAAAAGATTTTGTTTATTGGAAAGAAGAATTATGACAAATGCTGGCTATTTAAGATTGTACTGTGTGTCAAAAGAATACAGATGGATATTCTTTGGCAGGGGTGAAAAAGTTTCATGTGTGCTGACAAATAGGGGGATTCATGAAGACTGAATTTTTTGTAGCTGGCAAGAATATTTTAAACATTTGAGACAGAGCCAACTGAACTTTTAAGAGCAGTCCTGATGGGTGATCATTTATTCTCATATTCACTGGTCAGTTACCTAACATTGACAACGTGCTTAAATATATCTAGAAGCTCACTTCTCCCCTATCCTCTTGCTGGGTTTCTTTTTTTTTTTTTTTTTAAGATTTTATTTATTTATTTGAGAGAGAGAATGAGATAGAGCATGAGAGGGGGAAGGGTCAGAGGGAGAAGCAGACCCCCCTCAGCAGGGAGCCCGATGCGGGACTCGATCCCGGGACTCCAGGATCATGACCTGAGCCGAAGGCAGTCGCTTAAACAACTGAGCCACCCAGGCGCCCTGCTGGGTTTCTTTTTATGCCTATCTTTCTTTATTGTTTATATCTTCCCTTTTCTGTTCTTTAATTCTCCAAATAATTTCTTCGTTATTCCTGTCACTCATTTTTTCAACTATTCATAGTAGTTTTGTATTTCTTAAAATAAGCATTTGATTGCTTTCTTACTGTTAATTTTTTTTTTTTTAATTTAGCGTTTCAGTAAACATTTACCTACCTTCTCTTGTCTACCCCCAGAGATGAAGGCACAGGATGCTTACCTAGATTTCTTCAGTAACCTTCTTACTGGACTGTCATTTATTCCTGGTCTCTAAACCATTCTTTTATATTAGAGCCAGTATTTCTTTAAAAAGTGAAAAATATGATCATTATTCATCTTTAAATCCTTTTGATAGATTCTTGATTCCTAAAAGTCTGGGTTGTTTGTTTTTTCTGTTCAGTAAATGGGTAGTGAACATTTATGATCAAGTCACTAAATAACTGTGCTGAAACTAAGTTAAAAAAACAAAATCCAGCTCAGCAACTATAGAAACTAGTCAGACATTTCTGGTTTCATTTGGACACTAAACTTAGCAGTTCTGTAAGTTCACTCTTCTAAGAAAATTGAACTCATTTATATTACATATATTTAAGATAAACTAAGTCTCTAGCAGAAAATTTTAAATTGTTTTATAAGATAGGGTTACAGAATCATTGGCTGCTTAGAGATGGAGGAGAGATCTTCAAGGTTATCTAGTCTGGTGAATTTGTGGCTTTAAAACACATGAGAATCAACTGGGAAATTTTTAAAAATTTAATTTCCTGGGCCCCATGATTACTCTAGTACTTCTGTCCAATATGAATTGTTTTCTGCTCATAGCCTGCTGGGCACTTTGCCACTATCTACAGTCATGCCATAGTTAGGACATAACATTGATTAAATATGGAAGCATTTGTACTACAAGATATTTGTTGCTGATGATGACAAACAATATTGTAACAGTCATTACTTCACATATTTTTTAATGTCAGTTGTAGAAGACACTGAGGTATTTGAGGATATAGTGATGACAAAGAACAAGATTTCTTTTGGCCTCATAAAGCTCTTTTGAGCTCTTAGAAGATTTGCCTATCCCTAGGGCTTGACTTTTGAAGCAGAATAATTTTGCAAAGTTATTTCCTATGAGCTTTTTTTTCCATTGCTTTTTTTGTGTGTTTGTTTATAAACCCTGTTAACAATATTTTGGTTTATAAGAAAAGCACATTGTTTAGTGATTAGCACATTCCCAAAGCCTATTCCTTCTGGGTTTACTTCTTCTGAAGTACATCTTGTGTTTATTTTGGCAGAAGTCTGCAGGTGATAAATTTTTTTTAGTGTTTGTGCAAAAATTTTTTTTTTTTTAATTTACAGTTTTCTACAATTTTACATTTCATACAGCATTTCTAAGGGTTTATTCAGGTCGATGGGGGACTTTAGGTAATCTTTGTTCTATGGCTGTGCAGAAACAGAAACAGCTCTTTAGTTGACTTATCATGGAAATAAACTCAAATAGTACAGAAAAAGTGTCTCCTCCCTGCCCCCACCTTCTGCTTTCTTCTAGGAGTCACAGTGTCTTCTGTATTTTAACATTCTTTTGTATATCCCTTAATGAAAAGAAAACTTGAATATGTCAGTAGATATGTATATTTATTTATAACCAAAAAATCCCCTATTTATCTTTTTCTGTACCTTGCTGTTTTACTTTCTGTAGAAGATCTGCCTCATTTTTTAAATGGCTGCATGATACTCTGCTAAATGGATATAATTAGTTTAGCTCATCCTCTGTTGATTGATATCTAGTTCTTTTTCCAGTTAGTAAAAGCAGTGCTTCAGTGAATATTTATGTATATACCTTAGCAAAGTTTTGTAAATCTTAATTCTTCATGGATACACCAATATGTTCTAATAATTGTACTTTTATACTTTGCTGATCTTTATTTAATCCTTTCTGGATCCAAATTCCATTATACTATTACAGGGTATTTTTTTCCTCCTCCCCGTTTTTGATCATCAGCATAGGAGGCAGTTCCTGAATTTTCTTCATGGTTATTTTTGTATTACCTTTGTTCCTGTAGTTACAAACTTCCAATAGATGAGATTAACTCTGCCATGCATTTTGTTATTACTCTCTCCTCTACCACCAATGGAATTTTATGATTATCACTGTTTATGTATGCCTTCGTACTGATAAATCAAGTAGTGGAAGTACATTGCCTTTAAATATCTTTTGGTCCTGATTACTGAAGGAAAAAAAACCCAAGGAAATAGGCATAATTTATTCCTCCTTCATTCTCTTTTCCTCTCAACTTTTTTTTCAGATTTTATTTATTTATTTGACAGAGACAGCAAGAGAGGGAACACAAGCAGGGTGTGTGTGAGAGGGAGAGGCAGGCTTCCCACTGAGCAGGGAGCCCGATGCAGGGCTCGATCCAGGACCCTGGGATCATGACCTTAGCCGAAGGCAGGCGCTTAACGACTGAGCTACCCAGGCACCCCCTTCTCAACTTTTATTTATTTTGTATCTTATTTGTCTACATTTATGACATCAGTTTTTTTCTTTAGTATAAAAGCTGATTTTGTTTATTTTTCTGCTGTTGGAGAACATTTAAGTTTTATTCTCTTAGTAGTTTTCAGTTACACAATACACTGTTATCAACTATAGTCACTACATTATATGTTGAATCCTCAGGCCTTATTATTATAGGTGAAAGTTTTTACCCTTTTACCAACCTCTCGGTATTTACCCCACTTCCCAGCCCCTGACAGCCACTTTCTACTTTGTTTCTATGAGTTTGAGTTTTTTAGATTCCACATATAAGTTCTATGCAGTATTTGTCTGTCTTTGGCATATTTCACTGAGCTTTAATGCCCTCAAGGTTTATCCATGTTCTTGGAAACGTAGGGTTTCATTTTCTTGTGGCTGAATAATATTCGATTGTGTGTGTGTCTGTGTATGTATATTATGTGTATGAGTGTGTATATATGTATATTGTAGATATATATATGTACGTATACACACCACATCTTTATCAGTTCACTTGTTGATGGACACTTAGGTTGTTTCCATACGGTCACTGTTGTGAATAATGTTGGACTGAACATGGAAGTGCACATACCTCTTCAATATCATGTTTTCATTTCAACTTAATGTTCTTTAATGATAATCCTCACACGTTTAAATCTTAACCCTATTTTAAATAGATGAGTCATGACTGTTCATTTGATTGATGTCTATCCTTGTGATTTAAGGAAGAATTCATAAAAACAACATTCCTTGCATTCTTGTGTCTTCTAAAATATTATCTGTGATCCTTATATTTTAATCTGGTGCTTGAAATTCATGGATCTTTTTCTCTCTTCCTTTCTTAAGTACTTGATAGCATGTTTCATTGTCTTCTAGCATTGAATGTTTCTGTGGGGAAGTCTGAGGTAAGCCTGAATTTTTTCCCGTCTCGTAAGTGACTTGATCTGGATTCTTTCTTCTTAAGTCCAGTCCAGTAACTTATCCAGGATGTGTTCCCTACCCACCCACCCTCCTGCCCCAAACATTTTGTTAAGATAAATTTTTTTTCTTTTCTTTTTCTTTTTACGTAGGCTCCACACCCAGAATGGAGCCCAGTATAGGGCATGAACTCACAACCCCAAAATCAAGACTTGAGCCAAGATCAGAAGTCAGATGCTTAACCAAATGAACCACCCAGGCACCCCTTGTTAAGAGAAATTTTAAACATAATGTTGAAGGAATTTTAAGGTGTTCGCTATTTAGATTCTGTTACTAACATTTTACTGTACTTTATTATATCTTTCCATCTTTTCATTCTTGTATTTAAGATACATCTTGTTGTAACAGTATAGTGTTTCAACTTTTCTTTGGGACTAAATATGCCCTTAAAATCTGTAGATTTGGGGCACCTGGGTGGCTCAGTTGGTTAAGCGTCTGCCTTCAGCTCAGGTCATGATCCCAAGGTCCTGGGATCGAGTTCAACATTGGGCCCCCTGCTCAGCAGGGAACCTGCTTCTACCTCTCCCTCTGCCTGCTGCTCCCCCCTGCTTGTGCACTCTCTGTCAAATAAAAAAATGTTTAAAAAAATGTAGATTCAGTGCCTATATTTCTGGAAAATAGGCTGTTAGAGAGTATATATTCAGTTTTCATGACTTGAAGGATGTTAAATTGAGAAAACACAGTCCCGATCAAACTTTACATTTGTCTTTATTCCCCTTTATTCCCTTATATTCCCATATATTTATGTTACATAGATGTAATTTTATGTTCTTTGTCATTAAATTAGGAAAGCATTTTCAAATGTTTTTTTGGTTTAGTAATAAGTAGTGCTGCAGCTGATGTCTTTATGTGTATGGATGGATGCCTTTGGATTATATTTTTAGGAAAAATCTCTGTGACTGTGATTTACTGGATCAAAGGTTGAAAACACTTCAGCTATATATATATATATATATATGTAATACAGCTATATATATATATGTATGTGTATATATGTGTTTTTTTTTTGTAATTTATTCCCCCCAGAAGGATATTACTATGGCAGTGTACAAATATGTAAGCTTTGTTGAAATTTCAGGAACCTCGGATATTAGCAACTTAAATAATTTAGTAAATGTAAAATGGTAGTTTTGCTTTAAGTTGATAGTGCTCTTACTTAAATTGTATAATGTGCTTATCTGTTAACTTTATTGTTGGATTCTTTGAGCTAATAACCACTGTTAACAGATGGGGAAATGCTATCTGAGAGGTTAAAGCAGTTTTCTCAACTGGCACAGCTTAAAGGGAGAAAATCTAGTTGTCAGAAAACAAGTATTTATGTTTCTTTCTTACTCCTTTTTGTGGAAGAAAATGTAATGCACATTTTTACATTATTATATATGGTAATTTGTCCCTGATTTAAGAGCAGCTAACCTGCAAAACCATGACAAAATTGTTACTGGATATACTGGATAGACTTTCTTGGATAATTAATGATCGTAGGACACTTTCCACATTTTCGCTTATTGAAGCATTTCCCCTTAGGACTATAAGTAGATTATCTATTTTTGGTATCTGCTAGGTTTCTCCAGCTAAAGTAATTATCTGATAGTTGTATGGTTCTCAGTGTTTGTACAGTGGAGTCAAATAGCATGCTTTAAAAAAAAAAAATACCGATGTCTACATCCCAAGAGATTTTGATTTAATTCGTCTGGTTAAAAGGTACTTAGGTAGTTCTAATGAGTAGTTAAGGTTGACAACTAATTGTCTCAATGTTTGAAATCATTGTAGTAGTTTTTGATGGTTTTTAAGGTAGCTAAGTGTTTTCACGCATCTTGTTGGAATCCCCTGGTCACTACCTTACCCTAACTGGATGGTTATAATACATTTATAATCTGTCTGAATCTTTTTTCTTTGACATAAGTAATATATAATACAGCTGTTTTCGGTCAGTAAAATGGGGACGATAATATTTACCTTGTTAGGGTTATGATGCCTACTTTGTTGTGGTTATATTATTAGGGTTATTGGCACATAGAATAACTTAGTATTTTGTTATATAAGTTCTTGAGAATAGTGATTTATTAAGAAATGTTCAATTGAGGTAATTTATGTTCACATTAGAAATTTCAGATACTGTGATAAGAGGGCAAATAAAAGCACAACCCATAATTGTGCCATCCAGAGTATTTTAATGTTTTTTGTATGCACATAATTTGGTAAGCTGTTACAAAGATTTTTAGCACTTGGGCAAAAGAAATGTACTTTTTCTAATCTTATACTACTCTGGAACCCCTGTTCTTGATGATATGGCAAGGGTTAGTGACTGGGGGAATTCTCATCTTGTTTAAAATAATCTTGTTGGTGTCAGAATTCAGCCCCCACCCCCAAGAATTCTCTCATAGCCTTTTTTTCATAAGAAATTGATTTTGTGTGGGAGGAATCTTATGCTAATTTACTGGGGGGGGGGGATAATCTTTGGCAGTTAAACAGTATCCTATTATTCTTACTGTTTGTTTTTGTTCTTATGTGCCCTCTGCTCATGTCTCCCAAGGCATCCTTTTGGGCTTTACAAAATTCTCAGCTGAAAAAATTTCTAATTTGAAAGACTGTATATGAAAATACAGCTACTGTTTATTCTGTTTTTAATATGTTCCAGGCGTTACATTAAAACAGTTACTACCCATTTTAATTTCTTAACGTAAGGATAAATTTTATTATTATTTCCATACACATGAAGAAACAGGTCCAGAAAAGATACTAATTTGATTAATTACACAGCTTATAATTTTTCATTATAAAATGATAGACAAAAAAAGCGAGGTGCATGAGTATGAATAAGATACTAAGTATATTGCCAGCAGTAGAGAATCTATATGATTATTGATTTAAAAAAAAAAAAGGGAAGGTAAAAATATTAATGTGTAATCAATATTTTATAGATCTCATGAGGCGTCAAGAAGAACTCAGACGCTTGGAAGAACTCAGAAACCAAGAGTTACAAAAACGGAAGCAAATACAACTGAGGTAAAAGAACATCATTGTAATATATATGTGAATATATGTAGTTTTCATTGTGTTTTTAATAAAATTCCCCACTGCCTATAATAAATAAGTTGTACAAGTTGGAAAATAACAGAAAAAAATAACAAAATTGTCTATTTTGACTATACTTTGGGAATTACTCTACACATTAGCATAATTCTTTGGTATTATGTTTTTTTTTTCCCCCCAAGCTGGTTATGGACACTTAGCATTCACTGTGAACTTATATAAGGGGCTTAGGTATTGCATATAATTTGCTGTAAGAATGCACTGTGAATTACTGGATCATTTTTCTAGAGATGGACATATTTGAATTGTTCTTAGTTTTAATTTTTCCATGTGTATAACACTACTGAATGCTCTTATACATCTTTGTGCTTCTGATAATTTGCTTAAAAAAGATTTGTGGAAGTGGAATACATGATAAAAAGGGGTATGGGTATTTAAAATCTCAGTATAGGGGTGCCTGGGTGGCTCAGTTGGTTAAACGACTGCCTTCAGTTCAGGTCATGATCCTGGAGTCCCTGGATCGAGTCCCGCATCGGGCTCCCTGCTCAGCGAGGAGCCTGCTTCTCCCTCTAACCCTCCCCCTTCTCATGTACTCTCTCTCTCTCATTCTCACTCTCTCAAATAAATAAATAAATCTTTAAAAAAATAATAAAATAAAATCTCAGTATAAAATAGATGACTGTGATGGTCAACTTAAAATCTTCTAGGTTAAATAAGGACTTTGGGGGAGTGGTTGATCCAAGATACATAAACAAAAATTAACAGCTTTTCTTGTACTAGCAGTATTTAATTGTGAAATATAATGAGATAAATATCACTCTTAAAAGTTTTTAAAAATCATAATAGGAAGTGTTATGAACAAAGCTATGATAGATTAAAGCAAACTTAAAGTTTTATTTAAGAAAATTTTTAAATTAATTTTAGAGAAAAAGAACAAGTGTGGGGTGGAGGGTCAGAGGGAGAGGGAGAGAAGGAATATCAAGCAGACTTCCCACTGAGCGTGGAGGCTGCCATGGGGCTGAATCTCAGCACTCTTAGGTCATGACCTGAGCTGAAACCAAGAGTCAGATGCTCAACTAACTGCCATCCAGGTGCCCCAAAGTTTTGTTTTTTATTTTTTCAAGATTTTATTTATTTATTCATTTGAGACAGAGAGCATGAGCACGGAGAGAGGGAGAAGCAGACCCCTGCTGAGCCGGGAGCCCAGCTTAACCATCTGAGCCACCCAGGCACCCCTCAAAGTTTTGTTTTTTAAAGTGTTATAAAAGGGGCGCCTGGGTGGTGCAGTTGTTGGGTGTCTGCCTTGGGCTTAGGTCATGATCCTAGAGTCCTGGGCTCGAGCCCCGCATCGGGCTCCCTGCTCAGTGAGAAGCCTGCTTCTCCCTCTCCCACTCCCCCTGCTTGTGTTCCCTCTCTGCTGTCTCTCTCTCTCTGCCAAATAAATAAAGTCTTTTAAAAAAGAATAAAGTGTTATAAAAGTAGTAAGTGCTTGTGGTAGGAAGTAAGGTGCTCATGGGAAATAAAAAAATAAAAAAGAAGGCAAAAAGCCTTGAATAAATGTGAAGTGTCTTTATGGTCTGGAGATAGGTTGTATTCAGTATATTTTGAAGTATTTTTTCTAATTTTGTACCTGCTTATATCAATGTATGTATGTTTCTGTCTTGCAACTACCCTGATTTTACTCTAAATTACTTCTTCTCAAATTATATTTGGACAGACGGCATCAGCATTCCAGTTATAAGCCTCCACTTCCCCAACCGGTGAATCAGAAACTATATGGGGTGGAGCCCAGCCACCTGTGCTTAATCTTCTAGGTGATTCGTATGCATCATAAAGTTTGAGAACGACTATTATATAAAACTCCCCATATGATCTCCTTACACAAGGGACCTTTTGCGAATTTCTTTGTTGTCGTTTCTTTCCTTTTTATGTAAGTATGTTAAAGTCTGTTCTACTTGTACAAAGAAAAGGAAACCTTCCCTCCCAAGTATAAAACTCTGACTCCATTTTCCCTTATATTTATACTTGACAGCTAGGCTTTTAGAATTAGGACTCTACCCTTCATTTCTCAAAAAAATAAATAATTTAACCAAACAATGTGAGAGAACCAATAAGAGGGCATAAAAAAAAACACACATAAAAATGGGGGCTCCTGGCTAGCTCAGTCAGTAGAGCATGCAACTTGATCTTGGGGTTGTCAGTTCGAGCCCCAGAATGGGTGTAGAGATTACTTAAAAATAAAGTCTTTAAAAAAAAAACAAATGAACATAATTGCATTGCAAGTGAATAACATTAACACTCTGAAAAGGGGATGAGGAAGAAAATAAGGAACCTAAATAACTTTGGGAAACACTGTCTTGACACTATAGGCCAATTATAAGAAAAGCAATATATTTTGTAATCTAATTAATCTGTTTCTCACAGGGATATGGGTTAGTAGTTCTGAAACTATTTTTTGTATGTACTTTTTTCCTACTTTGATCAGGTCTTTAATGAAAAGAATGCATATACTTTTTTGAGTGAACAAATTAGTAAATAATAGATAATGAAACGCAGGTTTCTCATTGTTGGAGAAAGAAAAAAGAGAGAAAGGTTAAAACTAAAATGAATCCTGTGGTGTTGAATTGGGATCAGGGTAACAATAGAACTCAGTGGTATTTAACTTAGAGAAATATAGATGTGTGTATATATGTGGGTTCACATACATACATACATTTCATAACTCCTGTCTACCTAGAAGCAGTGATGCAATGCCTCAGTAACAGTGAGCACATTATTAGGGCCCAGATTCTTGATTCAAACACCATTCTTTAATAAAAGGAACTAAGGCTTTGTGGAGAAGTGGTTGATTCCTGGGCTAAAAAGTCCAGGATGAGCCTGGAATGTTGTGCCAGGGAATAAGAAAGTACAGGTGTACCTCTGATATACTGCAGGTTCGGTACCAGACCACTGGAGTAAAGCAAATACTGAAATAAGGTGTATCTAATGAACTTTTTGGCTTCCCAGTGCATATAAAAGTTATGTTTACACTGTTATAATGTAACAAGTGTACAAGAGCATTATGTCTAAAAAAATGTACACACCTTAATGAAAAAACACTTTATTGATAAAAAGTGCTAACCATCATCTGAGCTTTCAATGAGTTGTAATCTTTTTTTTGGTGGAAGGGCTTTCCTTGATGTTGCTGGTTGCTGACTGATCAGGGTGGTGGTTGCTGAAGGTTGGGAAGGCTGTGGCAGTTTTTGACTCTCACAAATGATTTCTCTGTAGCATGCGGTGCTGTTTGATAGCATTTTACCCACAGTAGAACTTCTTTCAGAATAGGGATCCTCTCAAACCCTCTCATAGACCTACCTCGGAGATACCGCAGATTCAGATCTAGACCAGTGCTGTAAAGTGAATACAATACAATAAAGTGTGTCAAATGAATTCTTTGGTTTCCCAGTACATACAAGTTATATTTACACCTATAGTTTATTAAGTGTGAAATAGCATTATGTTTAAAAAAAAGTGCATGCCTTAATTAAAAAAATACTGACTGGTTGATGGTTGCTGAAGGTTGGGGTGGTTGTGGCAATTTCTTAAAATAAGATGATATTGAAATTTGCCGCATGAATAGTCTCCCTTGCAGGCAAGATTTTTCTGTAGCATGTGGTGCTGTTTGATACCATTTTACCCACAGTAGAACTTCTTTCAAAATTGGGAGTCTGTCCTCTCAAACCCTGCTGATGTGTTACCAACTACATTTATGTAATATGCTAAGTTCTTTGTTGTCATTTCAACAGTCTTCACAGCATCTTCATCAGGAGTAGAGTCCATCTCCGGAAACCACTTTCTTTGCACATCCATAGAAGCAGCTCCTCATTCGTTAAAGTTTTACCATGGGATTGCATCAATGTGGTCCCATCTTCAGGCCCCGCTTCTAGTTTGCTTGCTGTTTCCACCACATCTGCAGTTACTTCCCCCACTGATGTCTTGAACCCCTCAGCTGAAAGGCATCCATGAGGGTTAGGTTAGAATCAACTTCTTCCAAACTCCTGTTAATGTTGATAGTTAGACCTCTTCCCGTGCTTCCCATGAAGCACAAATGTTCTTAATGGCATCTAGAATGGTGAATCCTTTCCAGAAGTTTCTCATTCTGCTTTGCCCAGATCTATCAGAGGAATCACTGTCTAAGGCAGCTATAGCCTTATGAAATGTATTTATTAAATAATAAGACCTGAAAGTTGAAATTGCTCCTTGATCTGTGGGGCTGCAGAATGGATGTTGTGTCAGCAGGCGTGAAAACAACATTAATCTTGTTGTATATCGCCATCAGACCTCTTGGGTGACCAGGCGCATTGTCAAGGAGCAGCAATATTTTGAAAGGAATCTTTTTTTTCTGATCAGTAGATCTCAGCAGTGGGCTTAGAATATTCAGTAAACCACGTTGTAAGTAGATGTGCTGTCATCCAGGCTTTGTTGTTCTATGTGTAGAGCACAGGCAGAGTGGACTGAGCGTAATTTTTAAGGGCCCTAGGATTTTCAGAATGGTCGGTGAGCATTGGCTTCATCTTCAGGTCACCAAGCTGTGTTAGCCCCTAACAAGACAGCCTGTCCTTTGAATCCAGGCATTGACTTCTCATCTATGGCTATGAATGTCCTAGATGTCATCATCTTCCAGTATAAGGTTATTTAATCTACATTGAAAATCTGTGGTTTAGTGTACCCACTTTCTTTTTTTTTTTTTTTTTTTTTTAGATTTTATTTATTTATTTGAGAGAGAGAGAATGAGAGACAGAGAGCATGAGAGGGAGAAGCAGACTCCCTGCTGAGTAGGGAGCCCGATGTGGGACTCGATCCTGGGACTCCAGGATCATGACCTGAGCCGAAGGCAGTCGCTTAACCAACTGAGCCACCCAGTTGCCCAGTGTACCCACTTTCATTAATTATCTAAGCTAGATCTTCTGGGTAACTCGATGGCAGCTTCTGGA